GCTGCCCAGGGAAGTGGTTGAGTCACCATCCCTGAAGATACCTGTAGGACATGGTTTAGTGGTGGACTTGGCAGTGTTAAGTTTATGGTTGGACTTGATGATCTTAAAGGTCTTTTCCAACCTAAACGATTCTGTGATTCTGTGATCAGAAAATATCATGAACTTCAGGCTGCTTAAATGCAGCTGAGTGCCTTTGAGACAGAACTGTGAGATAACAGGTGTCGGGGGCTGTCTGGACCTGAAACTGAGTGAGAGTTTGCAACAATATCCAAAAATGAGCCTGTGAACACTGTAAGGCAGCAGGCTAGCAACTGAAAAATGTCAGTTGGTCCATGCTCTGTGACCACATGTCGTGTGCAGTTGTAGGCTTGCTGATAACAGAAATATGTTAACGTTTTGTCAAGATTTCAGAGGAAAGGAGGGGGAAGGGGCTCACTTCAGAGCTCAGCACTCTCAGGCTCTGACCATGTCACTCTTGACACCTTCTGTAAGACCTGAGGACCTTAAAAGGACTGGACCAAATTCTTCCTTAAGCTATTTCTAGATACAGAGGTGCAGGTTTGCAGCAGTCAACTGAGTAGAATGGCAACAAAAATTGGCTCAAACTCTTTTGCTTAAGTAATAAATTAGCAATGTGAGGAGTATCCTGCTCTTTATATTTCTGGAAAACAGTAAGGGTGATCCCAGTAAATATGAGGAAAAGTAGTGGGAAATGGAATGACATGAGAAAATCAAGGTAATTAGAACAAAAATGCTGCTAGGATGCAGAATAAGAAGTGTCAGGAGTCCTGTTACTGAAGTACTTTAATAATAGAAGGGAGAAAAAAAAAAAAAGAACCATCTTACACTGACAGAGAGCAGGGAACTGTAAATCTTCATCTTTGATTTCTATATAGAAATTCTGAGAATTAATCCCTTATTCAAAGAAATTGCCACAACTGTTCTACCCTACAATAGATTTTTTGCTTGGCTATAAAAAATTAAAAGCCTTAGGATTTGATCTCATGGCTCAAAGTCTAACTTCAAATGCAGTTTCTTGGGTTTCAGTAGGTTTTTTTTTCCCCCTTTTCTGGGAAAAAAGGGAAAGCTCTCCTTTACCTCTCACTTTCTTCCACCCCTTTCCTCCCACCGGTGTGCTGAATCTGGATGTTTAAGATAGGTATTTAGTTGGAATGTTTGTCTGCACAGTGTTAGTTACTAAATCCATAAACTCTGGCAGTCATATGAACTCAGCATTATTTTTTAATAAGAAATTACATACTCATTTATAGTCTGAACTGCATCTGTCATTTAAATCTGTAGGACTTCTTAACCACAAGTGTGCTCATCTGGGTATGTTTATACTGATTCACAGAAAAACTTATCTCATTAACTGGTTCCCATTATAGGAACAACGGATCGCTCACGCCGTCTAGCAACTCTCAAAATTGTTTGAACTCTTAAAGTGAAATGAAACAACTCATGAAGTCAGTATGTAAGTTACCATTCACAAAGACTTCAGTGCAGTGACTCTGAGCAGTGATCTCGTACGTTAGTATTCATGACCATAAATTAAACAGATAAACTTGCTCAAGGACACTAATAACTTTTACAATTATTAATCAATTTAAAAAATAATGTTTCAGTCAGAATTATATGTGGCTTAGAGTATGTGGAATAAAGTTTTGTGAAGGTTTGTGTTAAAATCCATGTTCTGAATCGCTCAAGCAACTTGTAAATTTATGGTCTTGAAACACCTTTTAAACAACTTCTCACAGAATACAGCAATATCCTAATTTATTTCCCTTCTCCATCTTCTCTGTACTATCTATGTATAGTAAACAATTTATAAGAGACATTTTTTGGCTTTAATATTTGAAGTTTGGCGTCAGAAAATGATTTTTAGTAAGTGGATGAACTCAAGAATCCCATCCTGCTGAATGAGCCTGTATCCAGCAGTCATTAGCGGGGACATACACAAACAGGAATATCAACCGGTGGTTTTGTCATGTGATCTCTTCCACTGCACATACAAATATAGAACATGACCATAAAAAGTAACAGAACATGCTCTCTGCAAAGTAATTTATTGCAGTTGATGCTGGATTGGCATGCCAGCTGGAATTACCTTCTCAGCTCCTACTATTTTCACATATACAGATAATACAAGGCTGTGCACTGCAACAGATTCCAAATGAAAAAATATCAACATTATTAACAAGAAGCAAAGCTCTGCCAAAGCAACTTCAGCAAACTTAACTGTTTGAAAATGTCTCCTAGTGACTCATAGCAGGAGTTAAAGACCTAAATGAATACTAGGGCTTCAACGTTTTCATAGAGGGGAAAAAAATACTGCTTTTGTACAAGATACATGTCTCTCTTTGCTGAGCACAAAAAAAATCTAAGGATTATTATATATGTAGGAGCTTTCTTTTTGTTTGAATTCCTTATTCATTAGCTTGTAAGCTGCAAGAGCTGAGCTAATTTATTTTCCCAGGGCATTTTCCCTCCCTCTTCTTTTTTTTAAAGGCACCATGTATGACATCCCAACATGACAGGAACTCAGTAAATCCCCTCAGTCTCCACACCGCTGTCTCTGAATGTCTACAAAGCTACTATGCCATAATCGCAGCTCGCTGGCTCATTCACAGCTTTACATTATAAAGCAAACAGTCTAGACAGCTGAATGACAGAATTACTCTCTTTTCTCTTGCATTTATAGATATGCTGTCATCTTCATTTGCTTTTCTCTACTCTCTGCATTCTGGTACACTAATGATTAGCTTTCCTGTTTGGATTCCACACTGACTCCATGGCTCTAGGCTATAAATACAACCAGAACCTAGATGACATCACATCAACAAGGTCCTGGGGGTGAGGGGAAGGACCCCTGCTTCTTTCCTTCTTCTGTGTTAGCTGATGATAACCAGCTTTTTCAAAATGGTTAACCAATATGGCTTTACAGTAGGGCTTTTTTTTCCCCACTACTATGGAGATATAAAAAGCCTAGTGTCTGGAACTATCACTTTCTGCAGTTGAAAATACTGCTCAAGTTGCACAAAGCAGGCAGCTTTCAATTATTTTTAAGTCTATCTATAGTATAGCTGAATGTACCTGTGCAGAAAATACATGGAAAGAAGAGAACAGGAATGAATAACAACATATGTTTGCCTATAAAAAATGTGTACCTAGCAGTCTTTATTTTAACAAAAGTAACTGGACTGTGCTTGTCCTTAGTGAGAAAGAAACTTTACTTTTTAGTATTCCTGGTATTTTAACTATGGAATGATGTGTACACATGTGTCATGTGGCATTCCCTCAGTCCTAAAAGACAGTTAAATGATAAAAGTATACTTTCTTGCCTTTAACAAGTTGCAGAAATCTGTGCAAGCCTGATAACATGCAACTAAGATGTATGGATACACATGGCCAAGGTTTTTATTATGTATTGCTTTTTTTAATGCTTCCATAACTGTCATTCTGGATTCCTGGAGAAACTCTTTCTACATATTTTTGTTTGTTTTGTTGCATTTTTAAATTAAAGTTTATGAACTTGACAGTTTAAAAGATCTCAAAGCCTAGACTTGAAGTCAGAAAATGTAAGGGTGAAAGTGGGGAGAAGCCATTGCCATTCTCACTTGAAAAGCAGAGAAAATCATACTGATAGCACATCAGCACAGGAGGTCAAGCCGAGTCATAATTTCTACTCTTACCAGAGCTCAGACAATATCAATACTTCAGAACTTCACATTACATTGTGGGTCATTAGAAACTGTTCATTGGGGAATATTTTACCTATGAGCATGAAGAGTTTCATGGGCCACTGGGTGCAATTGTATTTGCAGACAATAAAAATGACTGCCTGAGGCTTGTACCAATGGGAATTTTGCCTGTTCTCCATGAGTCGTGACCCACTTTTACTCTCTGAGATCAGGGACAGCTGGAAGAACAACTGATCCCTTCTTGCTTGGAGCTCTATAAATCTAAAGTCTTGCCTGGAATATCTGTGGCTTGCTTTTTTTTTTTTTTTCCTTGAGTATCTTTGCCATTCAAACATACTGATTAGAAAATCTTTTAATTTGTGTCTCTAAGAACAATAGTTACAGCAAAACTAAACTAATTTATATCAGTTGCTGAGAGTTCTGATTTGAAAATACAGTTTCATGCACTATGGAGTGGGGAGCTAGTGGAAAAAGACACAACTGAAGGCCATATAGCATCCCGGGGGGGGGGGGGCTAGCAAAAAAGCTGTTCTATTGTTCTATTGCATGGCATTTCTAGCTTCCAGAGAAACACCGCAAGTGAAGTCTTCACTCTCTTCACGCTCCAGAAAGGAAGGTTCAAGGATGGTCCCACAGAAGGGCTACATAATCACTATTCACAGGAATGATACAGTGCTACTGGTCAAAACCTTGTGCCCTCTAGAAACTACAAATGAGATTTCATAACAGCTCCACAGCTTTCCTGAGTTTCCTAGGGGAGGATTTAAATAGCTGACACTAAAATAAGTATATAAATCAACTTGATATAAATTGTTTTTTCATTTTCTTGGCAATATGCTTTGCCTTCCTACCAGAATTGGCCTAACCTGGACCTCAGCTTGGAGAATACTGAGTCTGTGGGCCAGTATTGATTTTCCTCTCACTAGCTTATCCCCTGACTTCAAAGTCTGTCATACAGCATCCGGGGGGGAAGGCGGGGCATGCAGTGCTAGCATAAAGCTGTTCTATTCCATGGCATTTCCAGCTTCCAGGGAAACACTGATCCCACTTACAGCTGTGAAGTGGAAACCTCCTATGGTTTCTTCAATGCTCTTATGTGTATTGGTACAGAAAAGATTCTTAACTCTGCATCATGCCTTTCTCATTATTACAGCACCATGGTAATAAAACTGAAAGCAAGCCTCTAAGTGCACCCCATAAATAAAGTAACAAATAAAAGCAAGTGCAGGAACTGATAACATATAGGAGCACAGCCTTTTTAATACATTGCCTCTTGCAACTCTAGGTCACTTTTCTTACCTCTTGAGGCTCTTGACATTGGGATGCTAACACCAGGAAAGATCTCTGCGCTTGGAAAGCTGCACGTACCATCTCTGCCTGTAATAAAAGGAGGAATATAAATTAAAGCTTAGCCTGTAACCTCCAATACCTCTTCTTGGCAGCTCAAAGTCAAGTGTGACAGCTCAAATCTTTCTTGCCGCTTCTCATCTAAATCACAGCAACACTGACTGGAAAAAATGTACTACAGAACTAGCTTAGCTATAAATTTTTTTTGAAATCTAAGTTAAGTTCCCTATCTTCTTCAGAGAGGAAATCAAACTAGTTGATATGCAGTCTTTTGGTTATCATTTATAAGATCAGTCACAGAACTTAATTTTAACACAACAGAAAATGTCTCAGGATTTTAATGGTGGTGTTTAGGCCTGAGCGCATGAAAACAATTTATTAGTGTCAAGAACAGCAACCTGCAAACTATCTGTTGAACTGTAACTTAGGCTGTAGATATATTTGCTGAGGCACTATGCTGTAGTTCATTCCTTGCCTGTCCTCTGTCAGCACACCCTAAGACTAATGGCTATGAAAGATGGTAGGTGAAGGTTTTTGTACAATTTTCTCCCACAGAACTCTATAATTTGGGTTAAAGCTGCATGTGACAACATGTTTATATGCTAACAGTGCGGAGGGGAGGTAAATCTCTACACTTACAGGTGCTCCCTACTGTTCAAATCTGTGGCCTTTTGGGGTTATTCTGAACACTTCACATCTTCTGTACATGAAGCACGTTGGTTAGAATTTAATTGATGTTTCAGTATCACCTATACCTCATTCAGGTGGATGAGTAGTGACTAGGAGAAAGCATTACTGGAATAGAAAAGTACTATTCATAGCTGGTGCATGCTGCTAAATAAAACCCAACCCAAACCAAATGCTCTTAAGTTAATCTAATATGAATGGGTGCATTTATAATAATTTTGTGAAAGGCTGGAGAAGCTCATGATGTTTCTCCTTGGGGTTTCTTCAATCTAAAAAGAAAACAAGGAAATTTTATATACAGGCCTATGTGGATGCAACTAACAATACATAAAAGTCAGCGAATTTGAAGTTGTAGCAAAGTAAAACAGCCAAATTATATTTATTAATCTTAAAATGTGATGGCATGAATAAAAGATAACCTGTTTGTTAGGATGAAAATCACTGCAAGGAAGATGTTAAAAGAGGCCCAACTTGGACAGTGTCTGGGGAGAAGACGATATTATGGTCTGACAGGCTGAGATTTGGAAGAGGGTAATCATCTCTATAAACGAATAAATAAAAGGGAAAAAGTGTATGACCATAGGAAACTTAAATCTTCCAGACACAGACATAAGTAACAGCAAGGTTTAGATGTTCTTCAGCATCTCAGAAGATGATAGACTTTTTGGTACAGAAATTCATAGAACAACAAAGTTTTAAGCTTAGTGTTTTTGGAAATAATCTCTGCCTGCTGGGCAGGAGGGAGGAATTGTAGGAAAGGGCTGGAATCGCCTAATGAATAAAGAACTAAAGCAAGATACTAAGAATAATTATGAAACCCACAAGAATGAAAAGAGGCCTTGATTAGCAAGAACTTTTTTTTCAGGCATTATAAAATCCAGAAGCAAAGGAATGATGGGTAGAGGCCTTGCTGACATGTACCTTGCATAGAAAAGTAAAACAAAGCTTTTTTTTTTTTTTAGCTACTGGAACAATAAAGAAATAAATGGATGAAGTGAGACCATGGTAGTGACCTGAAGGGTAAGCTGGGCATGCCTGCATTCTTCTTGACGTATAACTTACCTGTTGTTGGACAAATGCTTTTCCCCAATTTCAAGGAATTTGATGTACATAAAGATATTGAAAGAATGGCTAAAGAGAATGATGAGAAATCAATGGGAATTACATCTTTTTAAATGGAAGTCAAATATATGTAGCTTAGAGTAACAAAATAATTGGGTCCATAGTATTTTCATTCCACAGTACTGTAGATGCTGGCAGATGGAAGCACAAGCAGAAGAGATTTTAAATGTGTATCATTTGGAGATAGTAGCAGATGACAGAAGTATGCAATGATGGATTGGGCAAATATGCCCAAGAAAAGGTAGAAAAAGTACATTGAGATTTTATGACTGGTAGTCTGACTTCAGCACATTCAGAATGGATTTGAAATGAGTGATTAAAAACACACAGGAAAATTAAAAATGGGAGAGATTACAATGGGACTACCTGTGGTTAAAATCATTACTTTTGGGGATTGTTTAGAGTTTTCAGTTTCTTAGACAAGGATAATGTGTCAAAAGTGTGGCTTTTTACATTTTCTTATTATCCTATATCTATAGGATGTTGGAAACATTCAGTGCTCAGTGGATTAGATACTGGTTGCAACACTTGTGCTGTATGCCCAGAATTTATTTAGCCCAAAAAGCTTTTAGTGTGTAGAGATCAGAGAACTTGCACCTCTCACCTTTGAATTTAAATCTTAAGCAAAGGATCATGCTAGAAAGTTTTTACAATTTACAAGCAGAAATTTGTTACAGACTTCTGTCACAGTTTTTTCCTTTTTTCCCTAAAAGCATTAAAAATGGCTAATTTTACTGTTTCTGAGCATTAAAGACTTCTTTCCATGCATCCCAGTAAAGTAATAGAAGAGCTTCCTCTCATTAAGAATGCATTAGTTCAGTCTATTACCATCCCAATTCGCTCTTGTAGTCTTTGAAATGTGACACTTCATTGCTACCTCCTTCTATTTAGCAGGCAGCCTGTGTGACTAAGCAGACAGCACTATCTTTTATAGGCAGATGACTCTTTCATTAGACCGTCACATCCAGTGGAAGACTAATGAGTGAAAAATGGACCAGGGGGATTTTTCTCAACAGCTGGTGGCTCAGGCAGAAGACTGCCACAGAATAAATCAGCTGAAACTCTTTCAGTTATAATGAATGATAGTAATGAAGCACAAGTGTCAAAAATGTATGATCATCATGATTAAATTTACTGGAGTAGACTAGACCACAAACTTGCACACAACCATCTGCAGATAGAAATGGACATATTTTGAAGTAACAGTAATTTTCAATTTGGGTCATCCTTTTGGCATTCTTGGGACTATCTATGGACATAGCAATCACCAGACAGCTAAGGTGAATATTTGAAAAAAGCAAGTTCCTCAAATAATTTCCTACTTTGCTTTTAGCAGTTTGTTTCAGGGGCTGGAGGAGTCGGCTGTGGTTGTAGACCTGAATGCCAGGACTGTATGGCATTCCATTCACCACCTCAGTTTCCTCATCAGTAAAGTGTGGAATAAGGTGTCTCAAACCTTTACCTCAGATGTGTTTGAGACCTGAGTTAGGTGATTGATGTGGTTGGAAGCGCTGAAGTCTGACATGTATGCAATGTCAGTCGAATTCCATGCCTGTTGAAACCTGTGGCTGACCTACAGTGAGTGACCTCTCTGTTGCCCTCACAGTAACAACAAAGACAGGCCTCTTTACAGTTAAGCCTACAGAAGTTAATGGAGGACTCATACATATTTAGAATCATCTTTTTAATAGCAAGTGGTTTAACTTTCTCTGTCACAATACAATGCCAACTACTAATATTTTCCAGAAGCCACTGCTTGAAAAATTGCTACGAGCCCTATGAGAGATGTCTAATGGTGATCATGCTTCTGACCTGTTTGAAGTAGTGAGTGCAGATTCCACCCAAACTTGCACTGCTTCAGGCTGAGTAGACACAGATGCAATGAAACTGAAGCTTAAAGTTTCTTTTGGCAAAGTTCAGTTCTCCAGAGCAGATGTGATTTTAAGATCTGTCTCCTTCTCATTTTAAATGTTTTATTCAGTCTAAGTTACCCATCGCACTGGTATCCAAGCGCTAATAAATACAAATGTTATTTATGTGACAACAGTTTGGCAAACTACAAGAAACAGTCACATGCATTCAGATCTCAAGTTACAAGTAAATTCAGTCTTTGGGAAAAAAAAAGAAAAAAGAACTGAATACAAAAGAAACAAATAAAGGATTTCCTCATGAAATTTAGCCAAGAAAATGACCATATTGACCTGAAAATACTAAATTTGTCAAATGTTCCTAAATAACATCGTTCCTCAGAGTCATACCACTGAAAAGCATAATGTAAATATTAGAATCCACTGAATTCTGTTGTTGAAGAATAATACACATCTTCACATATATACTAACATTATGTATATGTAACGCTAACATTAACAGTGATAATTTGCAGATCAAAATACAGATCTATATACATTTTGGATTTCTAAAATAAACATAATAACTTTATTTCGAAACCAAACAGTGAAGAGGACATGAGGGAAAAGAATTGGGATTAAGTAGTCCAGAGTTCTAATCACAGTTTCTGCAGAAATGATTTTGGGTCCTTTGGGTCTAGCGAAAGACACAATGACTGGCAGCAAGTAACAACTACAGACGGAACTTCACTGTTATGAGCAAAGACCCCAGTCTTTCTCTAAAATTGAAGGTACTGCAAGAGGAAGAGAAACAGTTTGCCTTTCACATTCTGCTTCCAAGAGCCTCTTCAAAGCGAAGTGGTGAAGTGGCTGGTGGCTTGAAGGGAGAAGCAAGAAACGGAAAAAGAACAGAGTTTAGATTAAGTATGGAGCTGCCATAGAAACTATCCAGGTCAGCCAGAGAGACAGTATTTATTTTGTACAGCTAATTGGCCAATAAAGATTTTTTAAAATGGGCCAAATGCTGAAGAGTCAGTTGTCCAAACAGAGCACTTCTTATACCGGAAAGGGAAGGGAAAAAAAAAAGTCACCTTTTTCCTACTGGTCCATGCAGAAAACAGGGTTGAAATTCTAGTCAAAATTTAAGTCAATGCGAGATTTGCCATTGATTTTGATGAAGCCAGACACCACCCCAGATATTTTGTTTTCTATTTTCAGACAGATACATTTAACTACCACCAATCAGCTATCCTCTAGTAGTGTTTTTTTTTAGTGTTTTCCAGCTTCCATGCCTATGTCTATATTAGGGAATTTCTGCTAAAATTTCTCAGCATTGCTACTGCTTGTCCAGGACCAACCTAAGGTTATATCAGTACTAGTCTCTCTAGCTGTTTATATCTGCCAGTGTATAAAACACTGTGCACATATAACTGAGCACAGTGCTAGCCAGTATTACTTATTTGTTGTTTCAGAGTAGCATCTGTACCTAGGTTCATTAACTTCAACTTTTAGTAAGTTTAACTGACTGTTAAACCACTCAGAGCTCTTTCCTCTGGTTGAGCTCAAACAATATTGGTCTTACAGATCTGTCTGTGCTAATGACATAAGACATGGATTGAATTCTTTGGGGTAGATTGTTACAGACATTTTCTTTCTCTGTATGATACATGAACTGTACAAATGTACTGGAATAAAGGAGTATTTAAAGCCATGATTGTTGTTTTCACATTAATTACAAAATTACTACCTTGGATAAAGAATTTTTTGCATCTTTTGCTCCAATAAGATTTGCCCCAGTGTTCCAGAATTTCCTCTCAGCTCTCCCAGTTTTGAGTGACATGAATTGTTCTAATTCATCTCAAGGGATCATTAACTTTAAAACCTAATGAATACTGTTTAAATGTCAGCTTTGTTATATAGTTAATCATTAATCTTAGCAGAAGCAGTCAATTATTTTGTTCATCTGTCACAGTTTCAAACAGATACAAATATTTGTCTGCAGGGCCATTTTGCTACTTATTACTGCCAAATGGAGAATATCTATATATTCTGCCAAATGAAGAATAAAATATCTCCGCTTACTAGAGAAGAAGAGCAAGTCCAGAGCTCTCCCAAAGCTCAGCCTTCTTTTGTGTCTTCCAGACTGACAAATTCTTCATGAATCTCTTTTACAATGACCAAATATCTGCAACTCTCTTGACCTCTGTTCACCTTTGATATGGAAGTTCCAAACCCAGGTGTGGTGTATTGATAGTTAGAGATTCCAGAAGATTCAGCATAGAAAAATACCAAGAATTGTGTGCAAAACTCAATAGTCCACAAATAACTGAAGATGTGGTCTATTTATAGATGAAAGGGGGTTTTTCTGTTTTGTTTTCAGTATCTTTCTTTTCTGAAGTTTTGGAAATGTTCAAGGATTCAAGTTTTGTCATTGCAGACTGCTGGCTTCTGCAGAGAGTCAATCACCTGCTGGAGATTTCAAAGCCTTGTCCTTGCACAGCATACAGTCATGGATCTGCATTTAAAGGCCTCCACATCAGTGAATTAAAAGATGTTATTGGCACATTGCAGCACATGATCTTCTAGTCCCTGGTGCTTATCTATAGACTGGATATCTCCAAAATGGATTGTCAGCTTGGTGGAATTTATGCTGTCATGTTCTGCCTTTATAATATGCAATTAGTGATAATCATAGCAATAAACAGCTGATAAAAACAGCCAAATGTATTGAGAGCAGGCATAAAACATCATAAAAATAAATGGCTTTTCTGCAATGCAGAGGATGCATCTTTAAAATCTGTACTAGGCCACCATTATTTGTTGGAGCTGCTAATAACCAAAGACTGTCATAGTATATTTTATAATCTTTAGGGATGAATGACAGCAACAACAAAAAAAAAACAGCATAGTGATCAGATGTTTTTCACGTGCCTTCAATTTGTCCCTGGAACTGTTGAGGTGAAAGGCTTATACTGTAAATGAATGACAACTCAGAAAACTCTGCAATTTTCCAGGGGGAATTAATTTAACTAATGACATTACAGGAATATCCTTTGTGTCACATGTTAAAGGTTATACCATGATAAAGTTGTAAATTTACTGGATTCAGTATTAGGGAGAGTCAACAGCAAGCATGCCAACCTGCACAGCATTTACAGAAGTTAGCCTCAATCTTCAGGCTTTCCATCCTGACTAGCCTGCAAAAACAAGCAGGTTTCTCAAAGAGAGATGGGAAAATGAAACCAGCCCACTTCAGAATTTCATTAAAGAACAGAAACTGTGGTACATGAGTTTCAAAGACTTCCAAAGCTTCCAGTTTCTACTATTACTTGAAGCTACACTCTGTATCTCTGAAAGTGTGCATTGCTTCTTTAAATAAATAGGAACCACATACAATGTATGGAATAGACAAAATCCAAACTCTGGCTATTATATAGATCAACCATTTTTAAAATTCAGGTTCCTTTTTTTTTTCCCCCATGGACATCTGAGTTCAGAATTCTTTGGAGGACCTGGTTGCCTGTGTCAAGGAATTATTTGCGGAGAGACCTCATTTCCCCAAGGAAAGGCAAACCTACATTTCTTCCATGCAACTGACACTGTAAGCCAGCACATCAAGCAACCACAAAGATTTCAGAGACCTGCAGGTCTCACTGCCTTCTGTACAAATGAGCTTTTGCCTGCACTGGCCGCAGGCACTCCAGTTATTTCTCTGATGGACTGGTTTGCTCCTGAGGTCTGCTGCCAAGGAGTCCCACTCTCTATGCCCAGCTATTATTTCAGAAGCCCTTCTCATTAAAGGTCCAAATCCATGCTGAAGAAATTTTGTAAGAGGCTTTATGATTTCACAGGCTTTAGAATGTCATTCACGTGTCCCTGATTTAACAAATGCAAGTTCTAGGAAGTTCAGATGCTTATCTCTGTAAATTAAAAAGGCTACAGCACTTGTAAGGTTATCACTTCACAAATACTCTTGCAGTGTTCACTGGGCACTCTACTGAAGAGCCAGTTTCTTGACCTTCTGTGTCAGACAAATACCAAATTCCCTGATATAAACAGTGGAGAACCATCCATTTCTAAAACATTTCACTATATTTAGGGAAAGAGCTTGGATAAATCAGTTCTTACACTGAAATACTTTTGTGTACATTCTGCCTCTCAAACACTTCAGGACAACTGGTGACATTGCCCACCTCAGTTTGTAAGTAGTCCCACTGTACCTCCCTGTAGGTAACTTGCACAGTACCAAAATCTGTCTCCTTGAAACTTCACTTCCACTTTTATTACCTCGGAAGAATCCCAGACCCTGACCAAAATGTGCTAACATGGAAGAAAATTTAAAGCTTAAAGATGACACATCTATAATGGTATTTAATGTTTCTTCTCATCTGAACCATGCTTTCCTTTTCAGGGATGCTAAACACCAAAAACCTACATTTATGTGGAGAGGGGGCCTCAGCCTTTCTGAAAGGCAAAGTAGTTATCCTCGTACACAGTGACGTGACTGAAGAGCAGAACTGACCTACAGTGGGTTTTTTTAAACAGAACATGTATTAAAGCAACCAGAAAGAAATATTTAAGCCTCAAAAATCTACTTCAAAATCCTAAACCAATCTTTTTATTATAGCTTTGGGATTTAGAATAAAACAAACATTTAATCTTATGAAACAAGATAGCAAAAATTAAACTGCTTTGCTGTTCAGATTAGTTATATAAGTATATAATTCAATTTACGGATATCAGTAGATTAACATAAGTTAGTAGGGATAGGGATATAGTTTAAGCTATCCTAATGGACTCTTCAACGTTCCAAAATCCAGCCATATTGATCATGCAATTCAGACTGGATGAAAAGAGGCAATACATGTTTGTGGCCACATTCTACCCCAATCACTCCTGACAGCACTCCCAGCTTATTTAAAACAACATTCAAACTGCACACTGGTTTCCCTTGTGGCTTAATTCTCATTATTCACTGAACTCCTTTTTAACTAGAAACTGACTGAAGAGCCAGATTCTGAGCTCATTGTTTGTTTTTTTTTGCTGACTACAATGAACAGCCTTCTCAGTTTCCAAGCCCAGCATTTCTATACACTCAAACCAGCTGCAACCACCAACTAGCAAAATAAAAGCAGGTCAGGAATGGGGAGGCAGGATGAGTGAAAAGAGTGTGCATGTGCTTTTCAGAAAGAATGAGACTGAAAATTAATAAAAGGCTTTCTCATAATAGATAACAATAAATGCCATCAATGAAGCATGGGAGATGTGTGTCCCAAACATAGAAAAATGTAATAAAAAAATCAATGAATGTGTATTTCTCATCTTGGAATAAATGGATTTAAGTAGTGTTACCACTTCAACTTGAAAAATCGTAATTCTTCACAAGAGAAATAAGAACCATGAGGACTAATGCCAGTAAAAAGGGAGCTTTCAGTAATACGAGGTTCATGCTGATGATAAAAACAGGGATACTGCCTGACTGCTCCTCTGTCTTGGTTTTCCTGATGAATCAAGATAGTTTAACTTGCCAGTGGTTTACTGGAAATTACTGTTTTGAGAACCACAGAGCTCACTGCTCTAAGGTAGAGTGCCCGAGATGATTGCCACCTATGCCCTCTCAGTCCTAGGTTGCTTTGAATCAGAAAGAAAAACAGAAGTCTGATTACCTTATCAAGGCTTCCTCACGGACTCTGGATCTGTGCCATCTCTATGTCTTCAATCCTTCCTAGTAAGTTCCTCCTGATTTTACCCTGGTCAAGTGTCCTACACAGTGACTTTGCAACAGGCTCACAGAGACACTCTCACACTGTACTTGTGGCTATGAGTGCAGCTGGTCCACACACCAAAGCTGTCATTTAGCTAGCTAATTTAGCCAAGGAATTTTATCATGTAACTTCTGGTTAAGCTGACAGAGTGGTTTTCAACCTGTGGGACACTTATGCCTCTAAGTCTATACACTAGTTCTACTGGAAAACCAGTAAGAAAAACAGGTTTCCTGCCAACAGACTCAAATTTGGTCTTAAAGGACTTCAGTGAAAAATTTTTAGAGGACATCAAAATTAGCACAAGCTAGAGCATAGGATTAGTTCTGATTTAGACTTCAAATGGCCGGAAATATACTGTATGCCTTGAGTAATGGCTCCAATAATTAATTAAATTAATTAATTAGAAAAACATGAACCTTCAGTCTAGCCGGAACACTTCAATATTATTCTGAATTCATCTGGTCACAGATGTGAAGAGCCCTTCACAATCAGAAATTTTTTCATATGAGAGAGTTATCTTTTAACATTTCCTTGGCAAACATGGTGTTTTCTTTGGTTTGCCATCTCATGTAAGGTTTCCCACTCAAACCATTCTGATAAAGTTTTTCTGGCATCCTTTGGAGATCAGAAAATCCCACTGTTCTGGGTAATCATATACAGATATAACCCCTGCTTTTAAGGGGCCAACGGTTTTAGACCCTTACCCAAAAAATGGTCCCTGATCAACTGCACTACTTTGAAATCACCTACTTAGGGGTTTAGTCAGGAACTACTCCATATGCAAAGAAGCCCCATGAAAACCAGTTATGAAGAACTGTTGACAGCCCTGGCTTATTGTGTTTCTGATTTCTTATGTTTCTGACTGAGGAAATGCCATATGGAACGTTTTCATTACATATTACCACCTTCACCCACTTCTTAGAATGGTTGCTTAGGGTTGGAAAGACCTTAAGACAATCTAGTTCCAATCCCCCTTCCATGGGCAGGGACACCTCACACTAGACCATGCCACCCAAGGCTCTGTCCAACCTGGCCTTGAACACTGCCAGTGTTGGAGCATTTACCACTTCTTTGAGCAGCCTGTTCCAGTGCCTCACCACCCCTACAGTAAAGAACTTCCTCCTTATATCTAACCTGAATTTCCCCTGTTTAAGTCTGGACTCATTACCCCTTGTCCTATTGCTACAGTCCCTCTCAGGTATCCTTGTAGGCCCTCTTCAGACATTGGAAGGCTGCTGTGAGGTCTCCATGCAGCCCACTCCACCCCTAAATTTACAGGTGCATGTTTCTTATGCTAGCAATACACAACTAAATGGCCAGTAATGGCCACCGTCTCATGTATTTTTCAATAGAGTCTGTTTTACTTTTGTGTCTTCCTTTCCTTTTTAAATAAGAAGCCAACCAAGTGTTATTTACTGCAATGTCAGTGTCAAGAAACATACAGCTTGATCCAGCTCCCATCAAAATTAATGGAAAAACTCACACTCTTTCAGGGGATGTTTGTCTAGACTCACGATGGACAGGTTCATGTTTATGCTCTGGAGCCATCTTATTCCCAGGTGTCTTACAGTCTTGAGAGGTGTAATCACATCTGCACATCACTGCCCCTGACCCAATAAATCCAGCTCGTTTTGAAAGCCAGATCCAATGCCCAGGCCACAAGTGAAGTCACCCTTAGGAACAGAATACCTTTTTTTCTGGATTAGCCACTTGGCTACATTGTGTATATTGCATTTCCATCTTTCTTGTCATACTAAAGTGAACATTCTTTATTGCTTATGTTGGGACGTATACATACACAGCGTAAGAAATCTAGCTCAATTAGCATTAGAAAATAAACTTTAATGTTGACAGATTTCCAAGGTTGCTTTTCTGGTTGATGACTTTTATTTTTTTTTACTTTTGGTGGATAGCAGTACCATTTTTTCCACACAGTCTCTTTCTTTCAGCTGAGTGTACCTTGTACGCTGTAAAAAAATCTGTCTTTTTATTCTTTTTTATGTATTCTGTTTTTTTCCCAGTCCTGTAGCAGCTACTTGGTTGGGTGTTTATTTCATGTAGCAGAAAATACCTACCACAGAAATGCAAAGGCATCCTGACAGCAAGTTTGTCTTTGGGCATGTTGACATCATCCTCCTTTCTGAGCTCTAATTCAACTTTCAACACAATGCCTAAAACTGCAGAGCCTCTGGGCACAAAAGATGAACACGAGAGTACACTTGTGCATTCTGTTGCCCTGTAAGCAAATTGCCTTGTTAATGAGGAATCAGTGAAATAATGGGTTTGATAGTCTGGGTTTAGATTAGCTAAGAGAAAGTGCAAAAATGTTTTTTTGTGTATCACAGGCAGCAGCATATCCTGTTCAACATTCAGTGCTATGAAAGTCATTGATTAATTCTTCAACCTCTCTCACAGGAAAAGACAAGATACAGCTATTTCATATGTAGTAACTACTCTTTAAAAAAAATGAGGAAGCTAGGATTTTTTAAGTTCACTGGGGGTTGGAACTAGATGATCTTAATGTCCTTTCCAACCCTAACTATTCTATGATTCTATGATAGGCCAAACCACAGCTGCACTTTACAAAGTGCATATATACCTCATAAAAGATAACTCCTGCTTTCAGCTTATTGTATTTACACAGCCTGTGCCTGGAAGGAGGAGAATGCCATTGCTTTCATGTAATAAAGAAAAGAAACTCTGGGTATGTACATATGACCAACATCTGTGGGGTGAACATTGCTTCCCCTGCTCATGATGACAACAAGTCATTGCACACACAGACAGAAACCCTGCAGACTAGATAATGTACTGTGAATTGCTGCTCCATGCTATCTTGTTCATGTAGTCATACATGTAATGAATTGTATCTCAAGTCTCTTCCAATAAGGAGAATGCTCCAAGCTGGTTGCTGTCTGAGTTCTGCATTTCAGCAGCTGGAAGCTGATGGAAAAGAGGAGGTAAAAGGCATCCATATTTCTATAGTTTTCCTTTCCAAGCTAAATAGCTTGGATGAGAGAAGAGGATAACATCACTGAATCACTCAGACAATCCGATCTTTCAGCTAATCGTGTTGGGAGGTTAAAAGATTTTTACAAATAAACAATTAAAAAAAGGCAGGCATCAGCTTATGTGTTTGACAGGAAGGCTGTAATTATGCTGTGTTCTGTACCACATGCAATACTAAAATATGGAAATTTTACGTTATCTGTCCTTCTTTTGTAGAACTCGTACATTCTCTTCTTATCATAATGTCCCATCTGGTACGTTACTCGAAGTCGAGCCTAAGTATTCTACCACTTGAGATATCACATAAACAAAAACAATGTGAAGCAGCTCACAATAAACACATCACAAAAACCTGCTTCTTGGCCTTCTAAAATCTTGCTGGCTCTGCTTTGACAGGGCAAAGAGCCCATCAAAACTGCTTGACCAGCTTCCTCACAGGGACACAATCTGAAGGTAGACTGTGTCTCCCACAGACTTTGTCATCCTCAGCCCATTTTTTGTAGTGGCAGATGCATCAGGGCAAAGCGATGGGACTCGTGTCTCTCTGATGCAGCAATCACCCAGTGCTGTTCTATCAGCTGGGCATAAGAGAACTGCCTACGCTGTAGACCCACAGTCTGGTTTGCAGTCTTTTTGAATTTCCTTCATTCTGACAGAAGAATGGTTCAGTGTTGGCACACATGGTGAGCCTGCTTCAGGGCTGTTATAACCTGTAATAGTTGGTGACAGCATCCAAGACACTGGTATGTCAGGCCAAAGACAGCTGGCTGGCAGCAGTCCTCACACTTTCACTGACTTCACATGCTCTATAGTTATGATATAGACAGCAGAAAGTGGTTTGAAAACCCTCATGTGAGACACATTAAATCTGTGTCTGCAGCGGACTTTGTATTCAGCACAAACATGCATATAATCACCAGATTTTTATTCCAGAACGACAGGACAGGAAAAGGACCTCTCTCAGCTGTTTAGGATAATTTGTTTTAAATAGACTAAGTAAAAACCCTAACCATTCTCTCTGTCTGTCTTTTAAAAGTGGTTAGTTTCTTTAATGCAGTTGACTTCAGAGATTCACCACTGCATGTACTGTAATTTGAATGAAAAATATGCTGCTCTCAAGATTGAGTCTAAGCAGAACTCCTTTTTGATAAACTAATCTTTGTAAAATCCACTGTTCTCTTTAGGAGCTAGCTATTAGTTCTTTTATATATATATTTTTAATATATTTTATTCTATTTAAATAGACTATTTAGAGTACAGCATGCTGAAAAGTAGGAATGCGGCACCTCAGCAGCTATTTGTTATGGCTGTACTCTTCCTTTCACCAGAAACACAAATCACACAATCCTTACAGCAATCAGCATGAAACACATCAGGTTAAATCCCTCATTTCTTTAGCATAATATGAAGTCTCTCTTTCTCTCATATTACCCTTCTGCCCAGTCAGGTATGTGAGGTTTTTCTAGGCAACAGGTGTTTTCTGAAATAAAATACAACCTTCCCCTTCAGCTCATTATGCGAAAGAGGCAGCAGCTGCAAGTATAATGCTGAGGACACATGGTCTGTAAGACACCCAGAAGAAAAATACTCCTTGTTCCACTTGTTAAGGTAAAGCACAGATGTTGCTTCCGTGACAAGCATGAGCATAAGGCAACCACAGTCTGCTTCATGTTGTAAACTCAGAATCTAGGATTTCAGAATATTGAGAAGGCTGCAATCCAGAATCACCAGTTTCTTTATGTAAGGAAAAGTTGTTCATGTCTAAGCTCACAGTCCTAACAAATACTCCTTATCACAGTTTGCGTTACACTATCAACAATATGTTAGGGACTATCCACGGACTTGGCAGATAAATTATTAATCATCTTTTATATTGACTCAATTGTATCAGATAGTGGTAAATGCATAAATTAATACATTAACTGATTTAAATATTTACAGATAGTGTATATGGAAAAGGTTTCAGTCATTTAGAATGTTAAATGCAACTTTTGTCCCTGCTTAGTGTTAGTACTAAGGCCATTTCTGTATCTCTCAGATCTAGAGTGTTGAGAAGTCAGCTGCAAAACAGTGGCGTCTAATGAATATAATGACCGAAGCTAGAACTGATGCTTTCCAGGGAGCAATTCTCTGCTCAGTTAGGTTGATAATTGACAACCTCCACCCCCATTTATTGATTTATCTGTAAGAACAAAGTACATACATTGTAGCTTATGGTATAACTGGTAAGGTAAAAAGGCTTTTTCTAATAAAAAGGAAGTGCAGCATTTCCTTAGAAACAGAAAGATCCTCTATTATTGCCTGATCTTTTCACCTCCTACTTTTCTAGGCCTAACTCGGTCAGAAACTCTAGCCTACTAACAAGAACATGTAACACCACAAAGAAAACACAGTTCACAGAATAATTCCAGAGCTCTTGCTCTGTGAGCAGACTGGTTACTTTGGCTGTCTTGCAAAATATTTATGCTGGCCTTGCAGCATAAGTCCCAGAAGCTTGTAGGACTGCATGGTTTTCTGACTACAGCATTTGTTATGCAGAGTAGCAGCTGCAATGAACTGGGAAATCTACACACAGAGAAAGGCCCAACAGCATCTACTAGAAAAAACTAAAAGCTTCATACTCCTTCAGATCCAGGTCAGACTGATCCTGGCTCTTTCATGTCTGTTTCGCTTGCAAAACTGATATTGGTAAGCTATTGGTAAGACAAGTCCATCCCTTATCATTCTATCCCACCAGTTTTAGAGAAGACAGGTTTAAAAAATAAAATGAAATAAACAAGCTCTGATCACAAGATATTATAAGGTTGCAAAGTAATTTCATCAAGAAAATGATATCATAGTACTTCCTTGCTGTGACATACATGGTAAAAAAGGGTGTCATTTAAATATGCAACCTAATAAATTTTTAGTTTGATATATTGTTCAGAATGAAAGAGATGTAATAAAAACAATCAAAAGAATAAAATATCTACATTAATTGGTATGATGATAACATATGCCTAGAAGACAACCATAGGAAGTTAGCACTGCTCAGACCCACCTATTGTTTGCTACTCGTTTGACTTGTGTTTTTAATTGTGTTCCTGTCCTGCAAAGGGCTCAGCAGCCAATAGGTCAATTCAAATCTCTTGTGACTGAGAATGTTTATATATTTTGTGTACTATGGTCTTCAGCCTTTGAAGGGGAGCAGTCTCTTTTTACGGATCCATACAGCCTTTTGCCCTTCCTGAACCAGCTGTCATCAGTGTGTTATGCCAGGTTACTACTACTACAAGAGCTAATAATTCAGAGTACCACAGTTAGGATTCTGCTCTACCCAGCAGTCAAGGCTGATCACACAGATTCCAAGACTTGTATGCTTACATCACAGGGAGAAAATCTCAGTAAATACTCACATGTGTCTTCACATCACCTTCAAGAATCTTGCTGTACCTGAGAAAATCGGCAACACTTCCATTCAGCAGCCTATCAAAGGCTTCAACATATGGTGCTAGGCCTGTAGAAGAAGAGCATTCCATTATAATGGGTTCATAAAGTACACAATGCATAGGACATTCTTTTGTAGCAGATGGTGGAGAAATACCATAGAAGCAGGGGAAATTGCTGTAACTTAATTTCTGCCATACTCATTGATTTGTGACATCAGCGAAATAGGAGGTATAATGAATTTTTCCTGGCTAGAAAAAAAAACCCTGCTCTTGGTAGAGCTTGGCTAGGAACATGAAGATAATTTAGTCTGCATACAGTAATGGGAAGTCTCTTTTGTCTTAAAATAACAGGCACTAAAATAAGTATTTCTCAGCCCTTCAAAGATCTAGTGGTCTGATAAGCACAACTGTCTTAACAAAACAAGTTTTGTCTCCTAAAAAGAATCTACACTGTACTGAACAACCCACCCACTCCTGAAGATCTTTGCACTGTTTGGTGAGTTTTAGTAGGAAGCAATTCCATTTCCAGTTAGACAAAAACCTTTAAAATAGGCTGACAGTGGATTTATGTAGTTAAATGTGGATTTGTGACCTCCTTACTTTGTTGTCTGACCTTGCAAAACTACCACTGGATAAAGAGAGCTCAAATGAGTCCTCTAGATGACACATCCCATTGACTAGATATGCTATATATTCTATCAGAGGAATAAAAATGCTTTTTTCTCTATGGTATACTGAGCAGTTCCCTGACAAAGTGGACAATCAGTTTCTTACGCACCTGGCTTTTAAAAGGCTTCATGTGATACCTTTTAAGGCAGCAAAAATAATCTTCCCTTGGATGCTTTCCAGCCCCCCTTTACTCCCTGACATACCCTTATGTCTTGTCCATGCCTCAGAGCCTTTGCTAGGTCCAGCATGAGCAATGCACATGTGAATTTATGGCATCTGTAGGATCTGAGAAATCAAGGTTAAAATTCTTCCCAGCCTCTCTCCCTCATTAATGAAGCTTGGAGATTGCTCTGAAGAGGTACCAGGCTTTCCCCAGAGAGTCTGCTTTAACTTTTTGGCACTACATAACAATTGCGTCCAAGTTCATAATTTTGAAAGCCCTCTTTATTCCACAAGAGTCATCTGGCTCCTCGACAGAAAAAAGAAAGGCTCTGGCAATTGGATTTTGCAATGGACTGTGTGAAAAAATAATGTCGTTAGTCAGCTAGGCGGGATTTCAAGGCTCCTTTTGTTTTCTTGATGTCACCTTCAATTCTGAGGAATTTCTGGGCTTTCTTCCATATTAAATGTTTGTGTGTAAAACCCTCAAATGACCTAGTGTACAAAAGGTTTTAGCTGTGGAGATGCTTTCCAAAGCCTGTTTATGTTGTCAAAATCTGTGTGTCTCCAAGAGAATCACTGTAATCTTTTACTTTAGAGCTGAATTTTAAATAGCAGTTCACTAAATGGCAATTTTCCTATGCAAAACTAGAAAGCAACTATGCTATTTCTTACTATTCAATACAGCTAACTTCCAGGAGCACTTACTAGAATTTGCTGTGGGCTGTGCACAGCAATTGAATGATTTGTTTGCGATCCTGCCTTTGCAATACCATTTAGGAAAACAGTAAAGGTACAGTTCTCCCAATAATTAATTCTATGTTAATTCAATAATAATTCTAATTATGGGATGATCTTTTAGGAGAGGGGCTTGTGGTAGAAGAAAGCAATGTATCTCCATTTCCACTAAAGACTTAAAAGAGGTCACACTCTGGCTGAGTGTCAATTTTAAAGGAGAAGAAGAGACCTGTTCCGTAAGACTGTCAACTCTGCAGTTGCTGTGGATGTTACGTGAACCTCTTCAGAGGCACAGTAACACAGGCATACAGACCGATATTTGTGGCACTGTATGTGTATCAGTGGCCCAAACCAAAGAAACAATACAGTCTTTCCTGACTGCATCAGCAAAAGCTAATTCCAGAGTCCCTGTGTGAGACAGCTCTGCCTGGAGATACGGTGCAGGATGGCAAGTGCATCATGGTGCTGCTCGTCTCAGCTTCTTACTTCTGTCTCTCAGTGGGTGTGTTTTAAAATCTCACTCCAGCAAGGTTTGTCAGGTGGTTTCTTCTAAGGAGCTGCTGGGGTTTTAAGGCTCTGATTCCCTGTGGGGTGGATCTTTTCACCTGACTGAGCTTGTAGGTTAGGCCAAGGATATAGCAATTTTCATTGAAGTACCTCACATGAAGAGTTCATCTCCTGTTCTAAAAGCAACCCTGGCTCTGCAGTACTGGGCTCTGGATTAAGAGAAACGCACCTAAATGGATTCATTATAGGACTGAAGCCTGCATTTTTACAAAATGTATATTTCCTAGTGGTGATTGATTTAATTGTCAGTTTGTACATGGATCATGTCTCTTCATGACTTTGCTATGGTTTGCTATCTGTCTAGGTCTTCTCTGGACTGTAAGCATTTTATTACTGAAGTTAAGTCATGTGCTATGGAAGCCCGCTGGAAGATGCTCCCTTCCTGCCACAGACACACGCTGCTTTCAGCCAGCTGCTCTACAGCAGCTGCCAGTGTATAGGCATATGGTAAATATGACTTTGGGGAAGGTTCCTCACATGTGTTGTTGGGTAAGGGCTGGCATACAAGGACAATAAAGCTGCTGACATTACTGACTTGCTTCTGTGTCAGTATGTGAGCTGCCTGCATTTTCTGCTTGTTCTGCAGCTTCTGTACAGCAACTGAGCCCATGCTGGGATGTGCTGTTCTCTGGAGAATGCAGGAAGGGCCAAGGAATACAGAAAGCAAAGGACATGAATCTAATAAAGGGATATATGCTGGAGCTCTGGGTGAACAAGCTCTGGAGAAAAGACAGGGCACTCTATTGAATCAACACTGTAACTGCCATGTTTCTGAGGTTATTTACCCTGGAAATTTCAGGAACGACAAATGAAGGAGTGAAAAAAAAATGATTTGGTATGTGATGTAAATAAATGAAGATAGACTTGTTTGGTTCTCCAATGTGGAGATCCACTTGAGAAAGGAAAAGCTCAAGAGATAACAATATAAGGCCATGGATTTGTGGCAGCCATTAATGAGTAAATGCTTAATGAACAAACTCAGATTTGATTACGGATATTAAACAATTCAGTGAAGTGGGTCCACAGTGAGAAATTCAGGGAGCTGGCAAACAAACTCAATGTTTATATAGGTGACTTTTTCCGGAATACTTATGCTGTAAATTTTGGCGATATCTCATTTATTCTGCTAATTTGGCTCAAGCAGACATTTTCATCTGGTAAATTATCTACAACAATATAAATGCCAAAATGGAAAGAGTGATAAAGCTTGAAATATAGACACTATATTTTAGAGACTAGTCAAATCTTGAGTTTTCTATGCTATATTAATTTGGAATTATGCATACACCTAAGCTTGTCACATTAGTTTTCTAAATTCATTTTTAAAATAATACTTTCTTTTGACACCAAATTTGTAAGGGATGGGATTACACTGCTTCTTAGAAGACAAACATATGTGCTACTTGCGATTTTTTGATAACAGAGAGATGGTACTTCAAAAAAACCCAGACTTACTTCCATTGACTCCATTAATGGCATCACACTCCATTCCACCAGATCCATGTGAGTCTGAAAATAATGATTCAAGTCGAGTCACTGCTTTCTCCAGTCTCTCCATCAAACCATGAGTCTCTGCCATTCTGAAAAAAACATCATTAATGATAAAAACAGTGTTAGGTGCCTCCAAGTAAAGCCAATGCTTTACCTCACGCTACAGTTCTGTTCATCTTGGGGCTTTATCAGCTTTTATGATAAAACTTGTGTCTTTGAAATACTGTCTTTCTGGCATATAAGCAGCTGCAGTGAAGCAGCTGACATATGGTAACTTGCTTTGTCAAAAGGGCATATGATCAGCACTCAACCCTTGTTTTTCATTGTAAACTGCAGATTCAAAACACTGCTAGCATAGCTTTGACAGTCTATATGTGGACAACTTATGACAAATAAATTGTCTGTGTATGCTCCCAATCAGATATTGAGATGACTGAAATATTTATAAATGCAACTGGTAAAAACTTATGTCTGTAGTGATTTGCATCAGCCATTTACAAGGGGAAAAATATAGACTCTGTTAATTCTTGACTGAAAGCCAGACTTTCAATGTATTCTTCCTGATTTCTTAAAAGATACTTTCTGAAATTTGCCTCAGTCTTTTATGCTTTGTAGTAAGAATCCCACAAGAAGCCAAGGTGGTTTTCTGTTTATTCTGATATGATTTCCCATCACTTCATTTTTTCCTAAGGAAAGTACCTGACATGAATCAGTGTTTCCCAAGGTTTTTAAATCATGCAATAATGACCTTTTGGAAAGAAAAAAAATAATCAGTACAGTACTGCTACAGTGCTTTTGATTTAAAATTAAACAGAAATTAGGTTAAATTTTTAGCAACTCACACATTACTTTCTTTGCCCACAATGTGATTATCTGCTCTCTTATATGTGAGGAAGTGTAGGCATTGACATTTTTGAATACTGGCCAATGCCTCAGGGAACACAGTGCTATCTATATACACCTCAGACTGAGAAGTGGTTATATAAGCAAAGACAAAGCTATGTTTAAATCCCTGATAAGTTTCACATACATGTTCCTTACTTAAGGTTGTGAGTGTTTTATTCTGCTAAGTGACATAAAGTAAGAAGGGGCGCGGGGGGGATGATTTATGGCTCTTGGTTAACATGATCCTTGTGAACATCTCCAGCTCAGTTCCCACACCAGACTACATCCCCTGCCCAGCACTGGGGTGTGGGGGCAATGGAGCAACTTGCATCCCCAGCAGAGGCAAGCAAGTAGTGGAGTCCCTGCCCACAAGGTATTGATTGCAGTATGGCTTGTAGACTAGAAAAGCTAAGCGTACCTGGAATATATGTGTAAATTCATAAACTATCCTGCTAAAAGTGCTAGTATCGCAGAGATACCAAAGCATAATAGTAGATTCCAACAAACCGTGCAATACTGGCAACCAAAACAAACATTGCGCCTCAGTGTCCCCATGTTCAGGGGAGAATCATAGAATCAATCATAGAATAGTTAGGGTTGGAAAGGACCTTAAGATTATCTACTTCCTAAGTATTATAATTAAAAAGTAAAGTAACGTGAAAAGAAAGGGGCTTATTTACAGATTAGTATTAATAAATCTTATGCATAAAAATAATAATAGTAATTTTATTTTTGATATGTACATGTGAGAAAAGATTAGCTACTAGGACCGTGGAAACACATGCAGAGCTCTTGCGCTGAGTCATGCTGCCTGTCAAACAAGGTGGGACCTTCAGACTTAACCCTATAAATACAATGAGGTTTGTGTTTGACCTAAAAGTGAAGCAGAAGATTTTAGTGAGAAACCCTTTGGAGAACCATTCTCATGAGAAAGCCTTTATCTGGAATTTATGGGGTTTTCCTATTTACATTAAACAAAAAACAAACCCACAAAAGAGGATGACATCAGACAGTGGGCATATAAACACTCAAAATTGAGAGGGGCTCTCACACTATTCGGCTTGAAAAATCAATGATTTTTCTTTTTTTCTTTTCTTTTTTTTCTTCAGAAAAAGCCCTGAACTTGTAAGTAACTTTGTAAGTACAAACATCTTGGCAGGAACGAGATGAGGGTTTCAGGAGAACTTCTGAAATGTTAAAAGTTTTGTGAGAATACTAAACCTTTTCTTAAAACAATGCACTGCTAATCCTCAGAACTATTATGGACACATTCTTTTCAACATTTTACCCTGCTACATAAAAACCTAAAATGGTATCTGTTTTAAGACTTATGTTTTAAACCAGTCTAAAGTCAGGCTAGTCTAACACAGCATACTAACAGTCAACTCATTTCATCAGTATATACATGTGTATTTCCAGCATAGTTCCTGTTCCTGTCTTTATGTGAAGATACAGTCTGATAGACTTTTTTTTCACCTGCCTCAAAATTTTCCTTGATGGCATATACAAATTTCTTTGGAAGACCTGTTCCTTTTTGATTCTTCAGCCTGATTTTGCCTGTGGAAGGACCCAACTGTTTGATTAAAAACCCACTGTGTTTGACTGCACACGCTTGAAGGGTCTGAGGAATCTCACAAATGAAGACATGTAATTCTACCCAACAAACTACCCTCTGCAAAATGACAAGAATATGGATTACAGTGTCAATAGCTCAAAGGAATAAGCCAACTCAATAACCCTATGGACTTTTTACACAACTCGTGCCAGTTGCACCATAGTGTTTTGCTCACTGTATTCTTCACAGCTTTATTCTGTTTCCATTAACTGGAGAACTACAATGTTATTCTTCCAAAAGCAGGGATCACCAGCAAGGCAGTCACAAAATAATATATTGTTATAATCTTTTTAGACAGAAGTAGGAATCATTTTTACCATAAAATTAGGGCTGCCAGGAGTGTATTGTTTTTATAAGGAATGTTGTACTTAAAAACCCCTCAAACATTATGTTTACACTGAACATACCTTTTTATTTGTGTACTTATATATTCACAACTAAATGGTATTTGCATCTATACTTTTATATATGCATGTACGTAAGTACACACATAGGTATCCCTGTCATATATGAATAAAGTGCAAGTATACTTTTGCCATTACTGTATATAACACTACAAGAGCAAATCAATTGTACATGTAATAACCTTACATTTACACTTTGCTTTACCATCAATTGCCTATCATACAAATAAGACTGGAATTAATGCTGCTGTTCTGAGGACTCCACTAACAACTCTCTTCATCCATTCTTAATCTAAACATTGACAACTTTGCCTATATTTAGGGATTCATATATTTGGCTCATATTATGACAACTTTCAGTATCTTCTTGGCCTGTATTCAGCTGTGCCTCTGATTACTTATAATTCCACACTGCACTCTGCGTGGTCACACTGACACCACAAAGCCACAGCTTAAAAGGAGTCAGAACACAAATGGTACAGCTTGACTGTGAGAAGATCCTGCCTGTGTGATATAGTATCAGAGCTCATAATATAAATAAATAATAAGACTGGGCTACTTACAGGGCCAAATAAAACCTGTGTCAATGAAAAGTAAAGGGGATGTAAATACATCTATGGGATGCTTCCGCTCCCATAGAACACATTTTTACATCAAGATAGATTCTCTACCTCATTTCTACTGGGGTTTTAATTAAAGCTTTGATCTCAAAGTGGATTATTTGGGTTAATCATGTATCTTTCCTAGAGCTGATGCTCACCACCTATAAGGAGTTAAAAACAATAGTGCTTCAACTCCCATATAATCCTCCCTTCAACTCCCATATAATTCGGCTGCTTTCTTGGTGGGGAAGTATGCTGTCCTTCATTGACAATGAACCCAACTGAGAGCCAGGAAAGGTGTTAACCCACATCTACTGACAATCATTTAAAAGCTGACATTGTTAGCAGTCTCTTGTGAACAAAAAATAAGAGGGAGGATCCACAGATCTGCTCTGCTTACTGTTGGTGATATCTTTTGGGGGAGTGTTAAAGGTATGTGGTAATTCTACCATCTGTTGTTTCTTTCCCAAAAGCTGTGAAGCCAAAATCAGGTAGAACAAGGCATGCTGAAGACCAAAAGAAGATCTCTTTTTATAGACAGACCTTGGGAGATCACTGCTTTTCTCTCCAGCTCTCTCAAAGCATCTTTTATCTATTATCAAGGGGAAAAAAAAACATTATCTACAGACTAAAATTCCCTGACATACTCATCCCAAACAGCAATCAAACTAGAAGCCAAAACACGGGTATTATTCCTGTTATCACTGAATGTGCCTTACAACAGAGGACCATATTGCTCCATCTCAAGAAGAAACAAGCTGTAACAAGCCCACAGGGAGAAGCCGCGCAGTAGCATAAGGGGAAAAAGTAAACACATGATAACTTACTAGGCATGTAAATATGGCAGTTTTGAACACAGGAATGCTGCCACCCTGTAAAGTGTGGTATTATTCTGACAAACATCAGCAAGAGATAGTATAAAGTTTGTTTTACTTCCTAGCACACTTTCAGTTTAGAAGAAAAAGCAGCAACTTGTTAGGGTTTTTTTTTTTTATCCCGAGTACCAGTCCTTCCACATTCACCTAGCATCTGAAAAACTAAGCCACATCTCACTCACGCTCATCATCCTGACATTCTACAGGCCAGATTTTGCTTTTCATTTCCATGCCAAAAAAAGGGCAGATGCCTAAAACAGAATACAAGCAGCACTGTGGCATTTTAATTCTAGCTAACATTCCTATACCACCTGGAAGATCATAGTCTTATTCAAAGTATGGCAGCTTGCATATGCGCTTTCTCTCCTAGTCTTTTAATAAATTGGTACTGAGATACAAAAATATACAAAAACCTTGATTGCCAGCTGGTACTATCAGAGAGCTAGTCATGAATGCTTTATAAATCCAAAGTACCGTGTCCTCTAAGAGTTCTTCTGTACAATATATAGCAGCATTTATCAAGGAAAGGGAAATTTATATGCATTCTTAAACATCCCCTCAAATTACAAAAGCATCTTATGGCACTTAAATTTCTGAAAAAGACACAGCCAGCTTGAGCCTGAAATGACTGGCTTTCTCATACCATCATTCAAACGTATGTATCAACTCCAACCTGTGTTGAGTGGGCAGTCTTTTTGCCACCTTTGG